GTGGATTAGTCTCTGTGTCCTCTATTCTATACCATTGGTCCACCCGCCTGTTTTGGTACCAGTACCATGCTGTTTTGGTCACTATTGCTCTGTAATATAGTTTGAAATCTGGTATCGCTATACCGCCTGATTCACACTTCCTGCTTAGAATTGCTTTTGCTATTCTGGGTCTTTAATTGCTCAGTTTAAATGTGACTGAAGCCAAACATTTGTAATCATCAAGGTCCTCTATATCTGGGTATTCTGCATTCACAGATTTAACCAACTACAAATAGAAAATATTTGGAAAAAGCAATACAAAATACAAATAAAGATAACATGGTATACCGACTATTCACATAGAGTATACGTTATATTAGGTATTATGTGTAGAGATGATTTCAAGCATAGGGAGCACACATCCATGTTATACTCAGACACTACACTGTTTCCTAGGAGGGACTTGAGAATCCAGGATTCTGGTATCTACAGGGCCCTGGAACTCATCCTCCACAGATGCAAAGGAAAGTTGTCCTAAAGTCAAAGCCACTTTTTCATGTGACTTTGTATCAAAGTAAATTATCTTATAAATTATCTCACTTATCTCAAAAATAAATACTGTAAGACAGAATTAAACTCTTATGCTAATCTGATACAAAATTATTAGTAAAGATCCTTCTGGCACAAAGATGTTTATCTCTGTGCTAGCTAGCTAGATATTTACCTAGGAGTTGCAGGGTTGAACTTTTCTTCTCTTTCTATTTCCTTTCTTTGGATCAGGGGATTTTCAATCACCACTACAACAAAGGGCAAAGGATGGCAACATGACCCAACAGTTACAGGATTAATCAAAACCTAGAGTGCATAACAAGGGACTAAAGCTGTAGTTTCTAAAGCTAGGGCCATGTGTCCTTCACACAGGTTCCTTCTCGTGTCACTGTGAAATTGAATCCTGGAGGGCAGCCATCAGTTTGACCCAAGATGATATTTTCCAGTGTTTTACCTTTATGCCCCAACACATAAGTCTTACAGATATTATTTTAGTTGCACTTTCTGATTGGGTTACCACATGCCCTTCAATGAAACACACCTTTGATCCATCTCCGCTCACTTCACACTTGGCCTGGGAATGACAAAGGGAGGGAGGTGGAAGAGCATTCAAAGCTGAGGAGCTCACTGAGCTTATGTTTGTGAACTCCATGCTTTAGGGTTTCACTTTCCCCAGGGCCTGTGCCAGCACTCTGCTTTGTTCATTCCTCCCACAACCATCCGTGATTATCAGTGGCTGAGTAACTAGAAGTTTTATATTAGAAAGTGGGAGAGCTAGAATTAGAATTCTTCTGGTTCAAACTTTTTACTCTTTTAACTCTACCACACTAAAATCCTACCTGCATCTATGATCATCATAGATCTTGGGCTTTTAAACCCCTTAATCTTGTTCATTCTCACAGCCATCAACCTAGGTCTTAATACTGCAATAAGCTCATCTCTCTATATGACTGACGTCTGTGACTGTGAAGCTTGTGAGGTTCTGTCTTCCATACTCTACATACTTCCTGACCTTGTTCCATTGCAGAGCTGATGTGTGAGGCTGTCTGCACTCAAGCACACAGTGACTGGTGTGAGTGAAGGGCTGTGGAGTCCCTGCTTAGAGAAGAGTGATTGATTACCTCTTACCCTTCCCCTTCTCTTTTTTCTAGAGAGCTGGTATACATGCTTTCTCATTTCTTGCTCTGCTGATCTATCATCTCCTGAGTGACACTATGCACTGAATAAGAGGCTCACATTCACAGGAACCTGATGAGGTATTGTTTCCTACTTGAGGCCCAACAAGATGAGAAACTTTCTCAAAGCCACAACACAAATAAATGTTGGATTTGAATCCAGATAGATGTTTTTAAAGCCTTGTTCTTTCTGTGCTGTCAGAGAGGTACTAGGGTGTGGAAAAGATGCAGATTTGGTATCTCAACTGAAAGTAAATTCTTAAAAAACCCCACTGAACTKTAATCAAATTCCAATCAGTGCCCCACTCTATGTCTGCAGAAAGGGAAGTGATAAGAACAATAACAGGGCTGAAGCACACTGAAACAGGAGTAGGACCACAGCTGGCTAGGGCCTGGTGAAACTCGATACTGTGCTTGCTCTGTGCAGCAAGTCAGCTTCCATGGAATCACCAACTGTCTTATTCCACCTGGCTCCCTCAGTGTCACTGCTGCACACATGCCATGGGAACAATACTGTCAGAGAAAGTTTAAGAACTGGTGCTAACTTACCACATTCACCAACCCTAAAGCTGTCAGAGAGTGACCTGATGTAATCTTCATGGCCCCAGGATGTTGTGTTTACAAAATGGGCCGGTGAATCACGAATGGTAAAGCTGAAAGTGTATCTTTCTGATCCAATATCTAAGAGAAAAGCAATACTTTTATTTTTTAAATGAAAACTTCAGTTTTGATTTTCAACAAGGATTTTTTGTTTAATCAAATGAGCAATTATTGAGGATTACTATGATGATAAAAATACTCCAACACATGGTAGAAAATGTTATTTCATATGTACACACCATGATAAGTTATGCTTTCAAAACAGACTCCTTCTGAAGTTAAGGGCGACTTCCTGGTAACTTGTTTTTTTTTTTTTTTTTTTGCATCCCAAACCTCATGCTGAAAACAGACACCAGAAACATTAAAACAGGCATTTCTCTGACTAACTCTGCACATGTAGATCCTGTCTTTTGTCCCATTGTATTTGTGGAGCAGGACCATGGTCAAGCCATTCCTTCTGCCAATGTAGCTAGTCCACATCACTACTGGCCCCTTCCCCAGTTATTGTGTGTCTTGGGGGAAATAACCCTCCATTTCTCTTTTACGGCTATTGTTTTCACCTAAGTCATAGTTCACACCTAACTATTTCAAAACAAATTGTGTGCCACCAAAGGAGGACCACTAGAGGTCAGCAAGTACACATTTTCCCAAACTGGAACAGTAATGTTTTTGGTAATCAGAAAGTAACATAACCCGGGGTAGCAGCTCAGTGGAAGAGCATTTGCCTAGCGCATGTGAGGTGCTGGGTTTGATCCTCAGCACCACATAAAAATAAATAAATTAAATAAGAGTATTGTGTCCATCTACAAAAAGAAAAATAAAAGTACCTGCCTGGGGCTGTAGCTCAGTGTTAGAGCACTTGCCTCGCAAGTGTGAGGCACTGGGTTCAATCCCAGCACCACATAAAAACAAATAAAGTCCATATACAAGTATTTTTTTATAAAAAGTAACACAACCTAACATAAGCAAATTATAGGTATATCCTGAACTGTTACTTGATCTACCTTTGAGAAAAAAAGGACTAGGATAGGAAGAGTGGGAAACTGAAAGGAGAATTTTTTCAACTCTATGACATTGCGTACTGTTTGAAATTTTTGTGAAAACATGATGATCTGTTGTATGTGCAATGCTTAAGTAGGTAAGCATACCTTCTCCAAGAAAGGTGTGCTACAGGTGTCATCATGAAAAGAAGTCAGACAATACAAACATGTGCTGCTACACTCACAGTCTGACTGGTGAAAAACTACATCATAAGCCTCTGTGGTAGCACATGCTATAATCCTGTGACTTGGGAGACTGAGACAGGGTCTCACTAAGTTGCTTAGGGCCTTGATAAATTGCTGAGGCTGGCCTTGAATTTGTAATCCTCCTGCCTCAGCCTCCCAAGCCACCACTCCTGGCTCAAAGTTAACTGTTTTTTCACACATGAAAGATTAATTTTTCACTGAATCGTCGGGTTGTTTGAGTAAATACATAGATGCTGCTGCCACACTTATCTCTCCCTCAGGCACTACTCTATCATGATATTTTGGTGGATATCAGGCAAGAAGCAGCAAAGGGCACTCAAAGTGTGGGAGAAATCAAACTTTATTGTATGCCAGCAGGCTCAGAGGAGATCAGCACTCCAAATTCTAAGTGCCCTTTACCAGTTTTTCACAACATTTATAGGCTATTTAGTGTCATAAATTTTCTAGTCTAAAATGATACATAATTGTGCACAGGGTTTCAAAAAAACAATATATGATTGAGTGTAAGAGTTTTCAAGCAGGAAGCATGTTCCCAGAAGCAGAGTGCGATGAGAGGGAACTGACTCCTCCTACAAAGCTTTCCATAAATATCTAGCCTTGGGCCCACAGCCTTCACAGGAGCATTTATACTTCAAAGGAAAGTAGGTAGGTCCTAGGGAAAGTCCTTGACAATCTGAAAGGTAGGAGTGAGTGGTGATAATTAGGTTCCCTGGCTAGAAAGGGGAGGGGAACTCTCCCTTTCCAAGGCACTAATTCTCTTGGACAGTGTCCTTTTGCATCCAGGCCTGGGTTAATTACCCATCACAATGGTACCTCCCTGCTCCAAAAATGTCATCATCTTGTCTTACGTGAGATCCATGTGTATGTCTGTCACTGCACAGGTTCATAGTGGTAGCCAGCACGGTGTTCTTAGTATGGGTCCACATGGTGCTAGTTCATACCCAAAAGAACCAATTAATTCTCACATGGTTTTATTTATCCCCATTTCACACATGTATACAGGAGACCCCAGATCACTTAGAGACTAAGGGAGGCCAGTCAGTCTAACTCCAAGTTCCTAGTCTCAGACACTATTATATCTTAAAATCATGAGACAATTTCTACTTTACCTTTACACACATGGAAACAAATTCATTCAAGCTAATGAACTGGCCAATTTAATTAATTATTTTAGCATTTTATATCAATAACTATTATGTGAGAAACATCACATTCAATCATTAAAAATAGAATTTGTCCTCACACACAAGGCCTTGACCATACAATAGAGAATACGGCCATTACTCTTAGTAGGTCAGCAGGCACGGAAATTTGCTCAGTTAAATATTCATTGCAGTCATAAACTACAGTTAATGAAAAATGAAGCAAAGAGTTAAACTTCAGAACTCAGCTTTTTCTGTCTGGAAAGCCTTTGACATCTGTTTTCCCAATAACTATACCGATTATTTTCTGAAAAACAAAAGAGTATAGAAGACCAATATTAAACACAGATGTAGATGTAAATTTAATTTCATGGACTTGTTATATTTTACTGGCTCTAACAAACATTTTTTACTAGGAACCATTTAAATGTATTTATTCCAGACAAACATCTAAAAGAACTTCATAAATGTTCAATTCCACAAGGAATAGTACAAAGCAATAAGACAGTTAACTGCTATTACAAATATAATCATTTGATACTTAGTATGGKTCTACTTTTTTTTCCAATCACTAGATGGAGCACAGTAACTGCCCTATGCTATCAATCCTTACTGAATTCATCCAAAGCACATGTATGATACAATTTAATTTGCCATGGTCTTCAAAGCTTTCCTTTATACAGGGTTTTCTAACACAAAATTGCTTAGCTTCTTAATCCAAACATGCTGGACAGTAAAATTAATTAAACTGTAACATAGGGGCTGGGGATGTGGCTCAAGTGGTAGCACGTTTGCCTAGCATGCGTGAGGCACTGGGTTCAATTCTCAGCACCACATAAAAATAAAATAAAGATATTGTGTCCACCTAAAACTAAAAAATAAATATTAAAAAAATGTAACATAACTTATACATTGCTGCTAACTAAAATCCTGGATCTTAACATCTATGTCTCTTAACACCTATCAACATCCTCTTAAATATTTAATGTTCTCTTTAGCAACTACCAAAGAAAAATTTTAAAAATGCTTTAAAAAATAAAAGATAATTATCTTTTTTCTGAAGGGAAAAGCCTAAATTTATATTACTAGCAACTGATTTTAACCTTGCAATAATCTGTGACATTTAAAATACAGTCAAGCTTTTAAGACTATCATATTCTAATTGAGCTGTTAACTAGTCATCTCTTGCCATTAGTTTTGAAATTCCATGTACATGCACATCCTGCTGAATTTTGTTGGAGAAATACAACTAATGGAAATGTTGAGTAAAACTTTCTAACTGAAGAGACAATTAGCAAATGATTTACCTTTTAAGGAAAACTTTTTGTTGTTGTACTTTTAAGGTAAACTACAACAATTATTATTTTTAATACAAATAAATGTTGAATTCCAAATTATTAAAGTTATATGTAAATTTATCCCATTTTAAGAAATCCAATTTGCAAAAACCAAATGTAAACAGCACACTGCTTAAAGACAGGGATGGTAAGGATGACTGGTAACTGCTTCATGATAAATACATTCCTCCATGATTCCACCCAGACTTACTTTAAATAAATAACAGTCTCAGCATGTTAGAAATCATCCCCCTACAACTCCTCCCATAAAAGTCATAAAAAGCACCATAATGACAAGTGCTTAAGACAATAACTTGCATAATTTGATTAAAATGCAATTATTGAAAATGATTTTATAGTGCTAAAACAACATTCATTGAATGTGCCACTTTATATTATATTAAAATAACACAAATATTTTGATCATTTGGAGCAACTTGAACAATTGCTAGTTATATTGACAATCATGTCTCCTACTCTATAGATAAAGAAAGGTTAATTTAAATTTAACTGTCATAAATATAAAGAAGCTTAGGGATACTTAATACCTAACAATGATAATGCAGAGAGTGTCCACATACTTGTCAACTACACAAATATGTGCCAGTGAATCAATAATGCTGGCACAACATAATTTTACCACATCAAGCTTCATTAGAGAACGATCAGATTACCACATCATTGAGACCTACCAGATTAGCCATATTTGGATGCAGATCTGAAAGTGCAGTGAAGGTCTTTGATGCACAGGAGTTTGCCATTTTTAATCTGCATTGTAGAAAATACAATTTAGATGTATAAATTATCTAAAATAAACCATGAAGATTACAAAATTAAAAAAAATAAACTGGGAAAGCCTAAATATTTTACTCGTTTTTGGAAAAATTTGATATGATGAAATGTAAATTAACACAGATTTAACCTACAGAAAATATGTTCAAAATGTCCCTTTTGAATTACATAGCTAAGTAATGCCCAGAGACACACACATCTCATGAATGTTGTTCCCAACTAATAAAATGTTGAGCAAAAAAAAAAAAAAAAAATTTTTTTTGGTGGGGGATGGAACTCAGGGGCACTTGACCACTGAGCCACTATCCCCAGCTCTATTTTGTATTTTATTGAAAGAGAGAGTCTCACTGAGTCACTTAGCACCTCGATGTTGCTGAGGCTGGCTTTGAACTCTCCATCTTCCTATTTCAGCCTCCCAAGCCACTGGGATTACAAGTGTGCACTATCATGCCCAGCTTGAGCAAAACTTTCTACTTGCTTGAGATGCAGTTAGCAAGTAGCTGACCTTTTAAGGAAAACAACAACAATTTTTTAGCATTAATAAATTTTGAATTGCAAATTATTAAAGTTACATGTAAATTTATCCCTTTTTTAATGGGATAGCTAGGTTTCAATTTTCACTTTCAAAAATTTCTTTTTTAAATATTTATTTTTTAGCTTTAGGTGGACACAATATCTTTATTTTTATATTTATGTGGTGCTGAGGATCGAACCCAGTGCCTTATGCATACTAGGCAAGAACTCTACCACTGAGCCACAACCCCAACCCCTTCACTTTCACTTTTAAAAGTGAATGGTGTGACTAGGTTTCAAGTTTTCATTTTCTAAAACTACTCAAAATTTAGCAGTTTTTGAGTACCATGTAAATTTAGAGTTTTTTTATGAGAGATAATTCAATCAGACATTTGGAATTTTAAATTCTAAGTAGCATCAAGTGTCCCTAAAAAAATACAGCAAAACTCTACTGTGAACACCTCAGATCATGCATTTGGTTACACTGTGAGGACAGGGAGTGATTTTAACTTACCTCTAGATGCCAAGCGCCATGCGGACAAGGGTGGCATCTTACATATGCTTTTATTCCCTCCCTTTCCACCCTACCCTTTCCCTTTCTTTTCCTTTTTGTCATTGGGGATTGAACTCAGGGGTGCTCTACCACCAAACTATACCTCAGGCCTTTCCAGGTTTGATTTTGAGACAGGATCTTTGCTAAGTTGCCCAGACTGGAATCCAACTCCTGGACTCAAGGGGTCCTCCCACCACAGACCCTCCCCAAGCCTTAGAACTAGAGGCCTGCACTCCAGCACAGGCTGTGTGCGTGTTTCAGTGCTACCTTGCACAAAGAAAACTCACTGAAGAGCAGATGAATCAGAGCTTGTGTCTCATTATCATTACTATAAAAGATTTTACTGGAGTAAAAACTGCAAGGTGTACCACACTAACAGATTGACTTACTTCATTTTATAAAACACAGCCTCTAGCCAGGCATGGTGGTGCACACCTGTAATTCCAGCGGCTTGGGAGGCTGAGGCAGGAGGATCACGAGTTCAAAGCCAGCCTCAGCAAAAGCAAGGCACTAAGCTACTTAGTGAGACCCTGTCTCTAAACAAAATAGAAAATACAAAATAGAGCTGGGGATGTGGCTCAGTAGTAGAGTGCCCCAGAGTTCAATCCCAAGTACCAAAAAAAAAAAAAACCACATCCTCTATGTCCTCTTCAACTCTGAATGCCCTCACCCACAGGCTTTAGTACACCTCTGCACCAAAGTTTCAGGGAAACTGTGGAATTGGTCAAGGATTTTGAATTTCAGCACCACTAGTTTGTGTCTTGTGTTTTGACATTACTTAATTTCATACTTAAATTTTGGATATATCTACCTTGCAATTAGAATTGGAGTATGCACAGGTGCCTGGTGTTTGCAGGCTCAATGAATGATGGTGCTGCTTGTCCATGTTATCTGGTGCAGCAGTTTTTGCATTCAAGGCCTTCTGGGCCAGAAGAAACAAGCAGGAATCAACTAATGTTAAATTTCTCATTCTTTCTTTGGCCTGATATGTTCTGCTTTAGAATGCAATCTCACTCTCAAAAACACTTGCCAAACTATGGCAAATTCATTTATTCATCCATCCATCTGACCAACATTTATTAAGAGCCTGTCAAGTGCCAGACAAAGGCTGTAGATGTAGCTCAGTGATAGAGCACTTGTCCATCATGGGAAAAGCCCTGGGTTTGACCCCCAGCACTGAAAAAAAATTTAAAAAGTCAAGTGCTGGACATTTGAGGTGGGATAGGATGACTTTTCAAGTGACTGGATTTTATATAAAAACACAACCCACCTACATACTGAGCTCTCTAAATTTTTATCCCTTAGCATCTTTTGGTGGTCAGTGACTGACATAATATCACATGATCTCTTTGAATTTTCTTCAGTTCCTACAATTATTAAAATTAAATGTTGATATACTTTATATGGTGATATAGTTTATAGTGTTTGTCAATAAAAATATGACTTGCTTCTCTTCCTGGACATTTTGAGAAATACACGATTTTTTTTTTTTTTT